TTGAACGTACATACTACATAATTTATGATTCGTAAACAATTACATAAACAAAATTGCTATAAACTCTTGCTTCTAAAATTAACTAAATGTGACAGCTGATTTAAACTTACACTGAAACAGTCGTGTATATCTAACAGCTACACGTGGTTTTAAGCACAAGCAAGCTTCGTAGTGTCCCGAAAATGACCCACTATATAGTAGTAGTAAGAGTCTGGGTCATGAGACTACACAGAATACGATATATAAGTTAGACCTTCAACATTTCTTAGTGAACAAAATGAAGTTTTTATGTGAAACTGGTTGCAGCAATATATGAATGTTTCTTGCCAGCAAAAGAAAAGGACGATCAAGGTACAGTACTACATAACTTTGCTGCTTTAATAGCTAATATAGCCTTTGACATCCAATTGGAATAGCTACCTTGTGTTGTGATATACATCTGCCTGGTGTTTTAAATTACAAAGTTTGTTTTTATTCCATGATATTATAATTCGTCCATATATAGATGAGTAAAACAAGAATATTTACTATAGATTTTATGTATCATATGTTATGTTAAAGCTATATACTGGTGGTTTCTTTAAAATTGCCATATATATTTGTTTTCGGATACTGCTAATGACACAACCCAGTCACCATATCAGTCTTTCTCTGTTACTAATGATGAATGTGAAGCTTGTGAGGTTGACGCAATACAGACTATAAATTAAAGACTCCAATCTTCTTGCTTTACTGAAGTATAAACAAAAATGTCAAACCCATCTGACACATCCCTTTCAATCATTATCATTTCTGTATCTAAAAAAAAAAATGTCAGTTCTCTCAGAAATTACGATTGTGTTTTGTTGTTGTTTTTTACTTATGACCAACAGAAAGAATGATAATTTTTTGTTATAAAATGAATATTTAAAATACACGTGAATAATTGGGGACAACCAATGTTATAAAAAAGTGTAGGTTTAGAGTGTCTCACTCATCGAAGTCCAAGGGTTTACGTCCAAACATAAGTATTGAATTTCTTGATTTTTATGGTTATTTTTTATTTATTGTTATAAAAGTAACTAATATGTAAAAATTAGAAACTTATTAACTTAGATAAGAAATCGTATATGAAAAAAATTGAATAAATAAATTTCTCAGGATATTCATTATCCTGGCATTCATACATCTTGTGATGTGGTTATAATTCAATCACTTATTTGTAGAAAGATGTCTTGCTGTGATAAATGGTTTTAGCATACTCTGAGGTGATCCATATAAAGCTGTAAAGTTATAAAAATAAATGAAACCAGATGTGAAAAGTTCAAGCTCTACAAGCAAATACGTGTAATTGTCTGTTAAAATATCCAGATATTCTGAAAAGAAAAAAAGGGTAATTTAGATTTATTTGTATTAAATTTTTATTCTATCCTATATTGCTGATTTCACTACAATTAATGTTACTGTAGAGAAACTAACACGTAAAACACAAAGTTTTACTGAAAGAAACTTTTGATATTTGTTTAGGAAATTCTACAAATTATGCAAATTAATATGAAACTGTAAGAAGAAAATAAGTATTTATATTCTTAACATGAAAATCGCTTTTCACTCAGACTGACTCAGTACAGATTATTAAGTTCACAGAGAACTTTTTAGCAAAAGTATTTTATGAAAAATTGTTATTTGGCGAACAACAGACTTGTAATCATGCACGAACATAGGGAGGGGGTTCGAAGGGGTTCAGCCAAATCCCTATTTTTTGTGAGGTAAAAAAATTATGCTTATATAGTTATAGCACAGCTGCTTAATGTATTTAACGTTTTCTACATAATCTTCATTCTTCTCATGAAACTATAGCATTTTTAGGCTTAAAATATTCACATGCAATGGCTTCTGTTGAGATTTTCGAACCATTATTGATACTGTCAGGTTTTGCAGGCCAGATTCTTTACAGTAGGTGTCTGAGATTTGTTGACAATAAATTTCGACAATAAACAAACAGTGACACAGTCCATTGTTTTAAAATAATATATTGAAGCAAATGAAATGTGTATACAAATGTTTGTTACACTGTTAGTTTCAGAGTTTTATCCAGAGCTTGAAATAATTGTCTAGAACATTCCACCCAATACTAGATATTCTGATGCAATTAAAAGAACGAAAAAAATTCAGAAAGCTCTAGTACCATGATGCAACAAAATAACAATCGCTAACTCATAACAATTGAACGTACACACTACACAACATACGATTCGTAAATATTTATGTAAACAAACTTGCCATAAATTTTAACTTCTAAAATAACTCAATAAGACAGCCATGCTATATAAATTATCCAAAAAATAATGCTCCTATGTCTATACAGCTACACGTGGTTTTGAGCATAAGCAACCTTCGTTGTGTCACTGAAATAGAACTACAAAGAATTGTGGGTTTGAGATTTCAGCATATTTATTTTTTTTTTCATTTTTTGTACAAGGATGAAGCTGAAAACTGTACTAATCTTAAACCCATTTAAAATTACCCACTATATAGCAGTAAGATTACACAGAAAAAATTTATATAAGTTAGACCTTAACATTTCTTAGTGAACAGAATGAAGTATATGTGTGAAACTGATTGCAGCAATATATGAAAGTTTTTTGCCAGCAAAAGAAAAGGACAGGCACATGACGATCAAAGCATGTGACACCACAAAAAATTTTCTCATGAGTATTATCACAAGTTTAATATAACTTGGCTTGAAAAATATCCATGGTATCTAGTAATCGGAAGGCATTTTGTGGTCCTTGTGCTACCCTTCTTCCAGTGCATAGTCGAAGTGATAAAGTAGTACTTGTCAACAAATCATTTAACAACAGGGTAAAAATTAGTGATACTTTATGCAACCATTCTAAGCTTATTCATTATCGTGATTCTATTTAGGCTTCTGATGCTTTGAAGGCTTTCAATGAATATCCTTCATCCAGTAGTATTGATATCATTACCAAATTAGGTAATATGTCAGAGCAACAGACACTGTGTGTGCAAGTACAAAGATATTGACTGATATTGGATTGTCTGAAAATGAATTACATGGTAAAGGATATTATGGAGCATCCACCATAGCTGGTGAAAGATCTGGTGTCAAAAACATATTCGAGATATGCAAAGCAAGGCCTTCTACAGCCATTGTGCGGGTCACTCACTTAATCTTGCTGTTATATATTCATGTTCAGTTCCACCATTACGAAATTGTATCGATTAAGTTGAAGGAATAACTATTTGGATTAAATCCTTACTTACAAATTTGAAAGGCATTTTCTCAAAAGGGCATCCAGCATAGAGCAGCTTCATCACATCTTCCAATACTGAATGTAAGCATTACACGCTGGGTTGAGAACGTTGAAGGTTGGAAAATATTATGTTTATTTCATCCATTCGTACTTCTCATATGTGATATTATTTAGTAGGGATACGGTAATTTTGACATGTTTATGACAATTGGACTGCTGAAGATAAGAAAAATGCTATGGCTTATCTAAAAATACTGGAATCATTAGAATTCATTTTTTATTTAACATCCTTACAACGTTCCATTTACCATTTGAAAGAAGCTTCTGTAAGTATGCAAGGTTCAAGCCGAGACAGTTTTTAGTATTTCCCTAATAGAACAATGTTGTAAAGAACTGACTTCACTAAGAGTGAACGTAGATGATTATACACATCGTATCTTCAAGCACAACAGTAATATTGCAAAAAATATACAATATTAATGTTAGCATGCCACGAGTTAGTCAATGATAAGTCCAACGTGCAAATGCAGAATATAGTTATATGGAGATTACTTTAAGAAAACGGTAACCATTCCTTTCCTTTACCACATTATCAGTAAATTTTTCTCCAGATTTGATACACATCTAAAGAAAGCAGCATCATTTCAGAAACTTATGCCATCAAGACTCACAGAAGTATTTTCTATCTCTGATATCAGACAGGCTGTAGATTTTTACAGGGAAGATGTCTTTGATGAAACTTCATCGATGGAAGACAAGATATCCTCCTATACCTTTCAAGAACAGGCTCCAGATACTGGCTGACTGCTTAAAAGCGTGCTTTAGTGTACCCAATACCTTTATGTTATAGAAACGTTTAGCCATACTGCCACCAAGTTTATGTTCGTGTGAACGTTCGGCATCTGCTCTTCGCCGGTTGAATAATTACCTGAGGTGTACACAAACCGAAGAAAGACTGAGTGCTCTAGCTTTAATACAAAGTCATAGTGACACTGCTATCAACATTCAAACTATATGTAAGTTATTTGTTGAAAAAAAAACCAGAAGAATGGAGCATGCTAACATGTTACTTCAGTAGTACATACATGTACGTATATGATTGAAATAGCTAATATACTACTGTTGTACAGAGTTGTTTAAATCACTAATATAATTTAACAGTTAATAACTACTCTGTATCTAGATAGTTCAGTACTTTACTATAATAAAACATACATGTAGAATGATGATTTGTTGATTTTTCATTGAATGTTTGTGAACTTTATGTGAACAGTCATACAATCGTTTAAGCTATACTTCATGCAAAATTACTTCCAGACTGAATTTCATAGGACCTATTTTTTTATAAATTTTCCGTGGGACATGCCCCCAGACCCCGTAGCATTAGTATGCTTTGCATGCTGATTGTGCTTCATACAATATGTGTTGGCTTTTGATCTCAAAACTATTTTAAGATTCAATTCGAAACAAGTATGACATTGCTTATTCGGATATTCTGATTTTTTATTCTCAGCTCTGTCTTCTTCCCTTTATGGTCGTGAACTCATCTGCACCTACTGTATATCAATAAAATCATATCAAGCTTTTCTAGAACACTAATTAGATTGTTCGATTTTTTCTGTTTGAATGATTTATTACTGACGTATAAAATGTTCTTTAAAAGTTTTGTAGCCCAAAGTAGTACTAAAATAATTTTGACTCTAATGTTAAATATATATATATATATATATCTTTTTTTTTCAGATTTATTTTCTTTTCTGACAACAGCACAGCTTTCCTGACTTTTCGATCAGACTACTCCGTCACGGCCACTGGGTTCCAGGCTACTTGGAAAGCTGTTGATATTAGTGCTTGTCTAGAAATACAACATATAACTGTAACACATAAAACAATTTATATTAGCAATAATTATCCAGAAGGTTATCTTCCCAATCTTCACTGCGTAGCTCAGTTTCGAGCTCCACGAAAAAAAATCCTTTTGACATTCTTCGATATCGACGTGGGAATTTCAGAAGGAAGTACTAGCTGTAAACGAGATTACGTGAAAGTTACCTTGGAATCAGGACGATTTCCGAGATCCATAGTTCTGTGTGGCAACACTAGCGTTTTCCCACCAGGATACCAGGTCTTGTCTTATGACAGCAATCTAACTTTGGAGTTGTTCACAAGCAGACATGGAGGAAGAGGATTTAACGTAACCCTTGAAATGTGTGAGTAACTAGTTAAGTCCGATAACCTAATATGCTTATATATATATATACGTCACAGAACTTTATTACAAATTATCATTATAGTTGGTAGGAGTTGTAAATACCGTGATTTTTGTTTTGTTTACAACTATCCAGATAAGCTGACCTCCTCAACCTGCATATAGTCCACTTTATACATCGGATAGAAATAATCCCTTCTTCTAGAACAGTTTAAAAGTAGGAGCTGAAAAAATTTGCTCAATATCAAGGCATTCGTTCTGCAGATTAATATATGCATTACTATTGTTTAATTAAATAAAGTAATATTTCATGCATTCAAAACATTGAAACTATGAAAGCTTTGTTTTATCAGCCCTTTCCAGTCTGTAAAAACTGACACCCCAGCAAAGACATAGTAAGCTTGTCATTTAGTATTATAAGTTTCTGAGTCATTGATAAATAATATTTTACATCTGGTGTTTACTCTGGAAAAATGCACTTTTTTTATTTTTGAACAAGCTCTGATAGTGATAATAATTCAGATTGTCAAGTGTTTTATGAAAAGTGTATATGCTTTATAAAGTTCTTCAGAATACTATGCAATATTCATTAATTGTGATTTTAGTTTTAACTATAGAGTGCCGAAAGGATGGCGTCATGTTTACGTCACCATTGGTTCTAAACTGTTTTTTTTTATTATTTGTTCGGAAGAATTTACTGAACATATTTGTTATTTCCTGAATATTTTATTCATAAACATTAGAAACTGGTAATATATCACCAAAACGTGAAGTTGTTTAATTTATTCGAGAATGAATAATAGCGCTCAAATAAATCCTCTGATGTAACATCAATTATATTTATTTATTTATAATTATTATATTGCGTTCGATTCTTCATGAAGAGGGTGAAAGGAAGAAACTCATAGGCGACTGAGATAATTATTGCCATACAAAGGTACTACCTTAGGCCTAGATTTATTAATAATCTGTCAGTAGACAGGGAAATGTGGAAAATCTTGTATTGCTTTAGTTTGACATGCCGTGACTTTGATAAAAGTGATGGAAAAGTTTGGATATAAACATACGACTACAGGTAAAATTTTACCTTATTAACCTAATCCATCTCTTCCTTTCTTTTTCTCCTTTGGGAAATCTAAAAATGAACAAGTTTTTCGCTCTGACTGTTGATTTTCATTGCAGTTGTACCTATGAAGCCAACCACGTGTAGTTTGTTTAGCACCAGCGCGCATATTGGTATCGTAACGTAACACTTCGGTACTCTATAAACATGCCATTATATAATATATATTAAAGCTACCAATTAAATGCTTGGTTTTCAGCAGAACGCCATCTGTACTTTGAATCCATTCAGTAAAGTTTTACATCTAACTGTGATAGAGGATAATAACAACTGAAAATACTGTTCACATTGAATAACTACACCTTATTAAAACTAAGGCGATTGACTCAACATTAGGAGGAGTTAATTACAATCTATAAGAACGATATATCTATGGTAATACAGTAACATGTTACCATAGATACGAGCCATGGCATCATAGGCTATGTTATTAACACTTATATATTTGGTTCACAGTGAATTCCCGAGTATTCGTCAATACACTGCACGACGGGTGGACTTAATAGCAACTGGAAGGGAGGTAACTCATAGCCATTTCTCAGGACAGATACTCTTAAAGCAAGATGGTATAAAGTTACAAAACCCATCTAGACCTAACAACAATTTTTAGATTCGAAAACATTCTTTTCTTGGAAATATAATAATTTATTTTTACAGCGCTAATTTACATTGTTGTGATTCTGGTCGTCAATGGCAGTTTTAATCTTTCGTGTTGTTTACGTGTCCAAGAGGTTAAGCTTGGCGCTGAGTAGGATACGGGTGTTTGTTTCTTGGTTCTTATGCTTTTGTCTTTATATTGCTTATAAAATACGTTATTTTCAGTTATCTTACTATTTTGACTCTGATGTATATCACAAATTATTCCAAGTGCAAAAAATAAACAAATGAAACGTAAACTACGTATGATTGCTATTTGTTTCGTTTTCTTTTCCTATGCAAGCCAAACATTGTTCACTTGGATGTAATATCTATACTATTATTCTGCTTGTTTGTATGTACGACCGTTACGATTTCTGACCGAAAACCTGCTGCATAAGCATGCGTAGTTGGAATGTTTCCCCAAGAAAAACCACGCATGCGCATTATTCACTCGACGACAAACAGTCTGCCTGCGGCAGAGAGCTGCAAAACTCAGTGATCAAGTCACTACAATTGCTGTATGAAACAAGAAGTAACAACAAAAGGGGAATGAAAATATACTTTACTAATCATTTTGTACAACAGAATATTAAAAGCTTATCAAAGTTTTTTAAAAAAGGTTTGATGTTAGGTCGTAGAATAACATTATAAGTTTATTTATCGG